TTGTAATCCGAAGTTGACATTAAAGGGGGCATAGGAGTGAGATAGAGGCTTATATATTTTACATATATGTGTCAAGAGCTTATGCTCTAAGTCGTAAAGACTTGGGAAGAGCATTGCAGCGCCATTCCAAGCTTTAGGATTTCGGATTTAGGGCTTAAGGTCTAGGACTCAGGGCTTAAGGTTTAGGATTTAGGGTTCAGGGATTAAAGCTTCAAGACTGTTCGGCCCAAGAGTCTGCAAACTGTGCCTTTTCTCGGGGTCTTGGGAGCTCGGGATGATTGAGGATCTGAGAACAAAGAATCAAAGCTTGAGAGCAATTACCTGGACCCCAAAAGTATGTAAAATAATGGCCTTTATGATTGTTATTATGGGTTTAGGGCTATTATTTTACATACTTTTGGGGTTTAGGTACTGCTTCTTTAGGGTTTACTCCTCCGCAAATTCCAAGGTACCCAACTATCCTGCCATTGCAATCCTACGCCCATAAACCCCAACCGTAGACCGCGAACCCCAATACCTGCCTGTAAGCCCAAACAGCCAGAAACACGTAGATGTTCCCAAAGAAATGAGGATGTCTTGTGCAAAACCTATGTTTCTGCCTGTTTGGGTTCCCAGGAAAAACAAGCCTGCCTGTAGAGATCCTATTTGGGGATTTAGGGTTTATGAGTGTAGGGATTAGGGTTTGAGGCTTACCTACCTGCAAAGCCTAGCTGCACAAAAGAATGGGCTACTGGTAGGAAGTTAGGGCCCTAAACCCTAAACCCTTAAACCCTAAACCCTAGACCCTTAAACCCTAAACCCTAAAACCCAAAGCATCCCTGCTGGATTTCTCCCGAAACATGCCTTGCATGGTAAAACCTAAACCCCCAAACTCCTCAATTAAGCTGTACTTAAACCCGAACCTCGAATCCCTAAACCCGTACTCCCTTAACTCTAGACCCTAAACCCTAGATGCTAAACCCTAAACCCTAGATCCTAAACCCTAAACCCTAAATCCTAAACCCTAAATCCAAAATCCTAAACCCTTAAACCCTAAAAGTCACCCAAACCCAGAGGTTCTCAGTGGAGCCCGAGCAGGCTCACGCCTGAGCTCGATCTTCGGGCGCTTCGCTGCGGGCTCCGCCTCCTCATCGAGGGTGAGCTCCTCTTCGAGGCTGTGAGGTTTAGGATTTAGGGTCTAGAGGTTTAAGGTTTAGGGTCTAGGGTTTAGGGGTGCAGGGGTTTAGGGTTGAAGGATTTAGGTTTGAAGGTTTAGGGTTTAGGATTTAGGGTTTAGGGGTCTAGGATTATAAGGGTTCATGATCAGGGCTTGGGGATTAGAATTTATGGTTTGGGGGTGAGGGGTCCATGTGCCCAATACTTGATGACCTGGGATCTGGATAAGACTATTGTGGGGAAATCTATGATGATAGGATACTTGGACCCATAGGAAGAAGGCTTAGAATCTGAGATTTCGAGTTTGGTGTTTAGGAGGTATAGGGTCTATGGCTTGTCCTTTAGGCTTTGTAGGGTTTTAGGGGTTGACGTTTAGGCTGAAGAGGCGTGAGGGATAAGGACTTGGGCTTTGTAACTGTGGGGTTCACCGTAGACGGTTTGGAGTTTACGGGTTGGGATGTAGGTTTTACAGGACATGGGGTCTGAGGCTTGGCGTTTCGGGTTAGGCCTTGGGTTTGGGGCTTGGGGCCCTAAACCCCTCAACCCTTCAACCCCCTGAATCCCTAAACCCTTAAACCCTTAACCCCTAAACTCCTAAACCCTAAGCCATAAACCCTGAACCCTGGACCCTATCCCCCTACACACAAATAAAACCTGGGGCTTGGGGTCTCTCTCGCGGAGGCCCCTCCCGATAGAAACCAGGAGTTTACGGTTTAGGGTTAAGGGCCGAGTCCTTCCTCGGTTCAGGGCCGAGGGCTTAAGGTTGAGCGTTTAGGGTATAGGGTGTGATGTTCACGGTTCGGTGCCGAAGTCAGCGTGCCCAACTATCGGGTACCTGGACCCCAAAAGTAGGTCAAATAATAGCCCAAACCACCTAAAAACAGGTCAAAAAGCTATTGTTTCTACATACGTTTGGGGTTCAGGTAAACCCTAAGCCCTAAA